ACGAACTTTGCAATGGTATCTGGACCAAACTCTAATACAACACTAGATAACTTGTAAACGTTGTTTCTCGAAAGGCAGAGAATAGGAATTTCACAAACCATGTCTTAGCGCAGATGTCGAGCATGAGCCACGAGACTGTCAAAATAAGCATAGATACACTAATAGGCATAACAAAAGACAACATAGTGTCGATCAACTTAGCTTCATCCCTCAAGTGTTCTAGCGCTCGGAAATAGGGGTGTGGTCGTCCGTGTTGGAGACGGGGAGCAAGCATTGGCCGCTGAGTTCGACAATGTACTGGCACGCTGAAGAGGACATGTATGTCTGGCGAAGGACCTTGCATACCTGTAAGAACTAGTGGCTCAAGAGTCAGTATATGATTCTGTCTAGGACGACGATGACAACCCACAGATGCGCAGCAAAGGATATCTCTGCAAGAAAGGCAACCTAGAATGTAAACCCGGAGTTCTTCGGCAAGGGACAGGAATGCTGATTTTAGGCTTGATTTCGTGATCCATTCTCTTGACAAAGTGGTCAATGGTTTGGATGCGTGGGAGGTTATGTAAAAGTTGTGAGACGTAAATTTTCCAATTGGGTCAGCGCCCCCAGGGAGGCTACTCATCCAGGAAACAAGGCCACAGGTTCGTGGCATGCTGATGCATCAAACAGGGTAACTGTAGCGCACCCGTGATGCATCATTGCTGCAATTATACTACCCTTTCTCCTCACTAATGCATCAGCTCCCTCCCGTGCTGATGCATCAGCCTCCTGCCAAGCTCCCTCCCGCTGTGATGCATCAGCCTTTTCCGCTGTGATGCATCAGCTCCCTCCCGTGCTGATGCATCAGCTCCCTCCCGTGCCGATGCATCAGCACGGGAGGGAGTTGATGCATCATGATGCATAGTAGTGCTCCGCTTGCCCATTTTGCTAATGCTTCTTGCCCGCCTGTTCGCCGCTTGTTCTTGCCCCTCCGTTGGCCCGCTCGTTCTTGCCTCCCGTTGGCCCTCCCACATTCGCATACACCTACTACTCGTTCGAATGAGACAGCCAATGCTAGCACAAATTTATATTGGATCTTGCTACGTATGCATGTACTATGGGTACTAATCAATCAATGTCCATGTCTTGCTGAGTGACGAGTGAGTGGTTGAATATGTCCGCCAGTGCCAAGGTGTCAGTCCAACTAGTCCTGAAGGACTCAGCGAGCCTTCGACATAACGAAGCTTGACGTTTGGCATATGCTATCAGTCCCTCGCGCTCATCATCATCATCCATGTCGTGTAAGGCATCTTCTAGCCCTCGCTCGTCCCAGCATTGCGCATCCCATTCGAAAAATTGTAGGATCCTCCGCATCTCTTCCTTCAGCAGCTCCACCTCTTCAGCCCAGCGCATCGCCCGTGCCCTGGCTTTGCACCATTCGATTCGCATATCTAATTAACCGCGAACCTTAGGCTTGAAGCTTCCAAAACAAAAAAAAAGTACTCGCCTTCCAAAGCATTGTCCTTGTCCATCTCGTCAGGTGCAGCTCCTCGCATATTCCAGATCCAAGATAGTTTTCTTGTCCCCTCTGATTCCCCCCATAATAGATCTGTCATCGAGCGGATATCCGCTCGGTTTAGTGGCCGCAGTGAGGAGTGCCACCCAATCTGATTCAGCAGTGGTGCAAGAACCACGAGAGCCTTATGGGCACGCTCATACGTGCTGGCGGCAGCCTCAAGCCTTGCTTCAACAGCTTTGAGTGTATTCCGTGCCCTCGTATTCGCACCTTGTCCACGAAGGTTGCGATCTTTATACTTGAGGATTGCAGTCTGAGCACGCAAGTTTGAACGTAGGGAACGGAGTGCATCGTGAGCTTGCGCATACCGGAGCTTCCATTCGATGGTTTGGAGGCGGGTGTCACAAGGTGCTGTCTTGCCGATTTGGGATGGTAGCCAGAGTTTGACGGTTTCTGGTGTAGCTACTGCAGTGGCTATGCCACCAGATACTGAACTCTCGCTGACACGTAGTGCAGCGAGCGACGGCATGTATAGTTCCTGTAATTTAGTCCAGGTGTCGATCCTGCGTTGCAGAGTGTTATTCCGCTGAAGCATCTTCCCTTCTTGATTGTCTGTTGCGTGAACTCTGAGGCCGGCTCTGTCAGCTTTCATTCGCCGTCTAGAAAAAAGTAAGACCAAGATCTCATATGCAGCACTCAGGGGACTTACTGTTGTTCCTCGAGTTCTAAGCCAGTACTGATCAATACACTAGGAGTACAGTCCTCGTGTAGCGCAAGGCAAGTCCCTGTTTGAATATCATTCTGGTCATCCCTAGCCAGTTCCAGTCGCACAGAAGCCATAGTGACAGCTATGATGCACGGAAAGATCAGCACACAGTGACTGATGATGATCCATACATACTTTCCGCCCTTCGTTCGAAAGGATTTGGCTTTGCAGGGTCACGCTCCCAAGCCTCCACCTGTTCTCTCCACTGGGCGAGAGCGGCACTATATTCACCTCTCAAACCTTCTTCAAGGTCATCAAGGGCTTCGTGATGATCCTGCCGCTCCGGTAATGCATCCTTCATCTTGTGAAGCATAGTATGACCTGATAATAAAGGAGGTCAGCCCAAATATGCTCTTCAAGACCGAAACTGCCTCGGCATAGTAAGGGGTTGATGTATTATCGAGGCGACTGGTGGATGGAGAGAAGGTGCATGGTGCGTCTGCACAATTGAGTGTCGGAGTAGTCGAGGTTAAGGTATCCAGTTGCAATAAAGGATGATTTCAATGAAAATGTACGAACCAAGTTTAACTACCTTTTTCCAATTTGAGTCTCCAAAGTAGTCGTCAAGGGTGTCTCGCCGTGCACCAGGACCCATCTCTTTAGTACTTGAAGCGACGGGGTTGATATTGGCCCAGCCACGCTCGGGTGCTTCTCCATCAGTCCGACCGACCCCACTCTTAAAATTGAACGAGAATGAGGTTTGACACTCCTCGATGTGAGCAGGAAGGTGGAACTTTGGGACGAAAAAAGAGATAGTTTTGAAAGTGGGCAGGAGGTGCATTGAGACTGGAAATGTGCTCATACGGTGCCATAATTTTTTGTGCCACTGGCACGCGATATCGTAAGATACATTCAGAGTGTCGATTACAGTGTGGCGCAGCGTTGAGAAGAATAAATAATCCATGTTGACATATCTACAGACCGTTAGATCACCAATGTCTGAATGCAAAACACGATTTACCTTTCACCCTTTTGGAGATCTCCAACAGCGTTGGGCCGTTTCATGTTGTGGCGGGCACAGTCAACAGTACCTAAACCTGTGGCAGCAAGTCCACGATTAGATTTTGTGTCCGCCATGTTCACAGCGTTGTGACTTGAGCATGTTGATTTCTGTAGAACACCATTAATACACGAAAAGAAGATTTAAATAAAACAACCTCTTGGGTATTGTCCGAATTGCTGTCCAAGAAGCCCTTATAAGCTTCATCCTCCACGAAATAGGCCCACCCAGAACTCAGGCTTGGGTCCACGCTGTCATTCGAGACAGCCTTGCGTTTCAACCGGAAGTTTGCATCGATAGCAAGGAACAATCCGTAGAGCCAACTAATAGTATCTATATCAGCGATAATACCACTCAAGCTATCTAAAACTCACCGTCGAGGTGCATCTTTCCAATTATCTGGAAGGTTCTTCCCTGGATGTGGACAAGCTGGGCACAATACAGCACATTCACCTTGAGCTGTCGCTTCTACACCCTTCGGATCGTGACCTTGCCCTGAGCGTTTGAGCATCTTCAGGTGACGCCATTCACGAATCATCCGCATAAACGACTCGTATCGATCCTGTAAAGAAGCTTTACTGACCATAAGGATACTTGAAATTTTGAACCTACCTTAATGAGAAGTAGACCGGTGTTGTCAGACATCCGGCGAAGTCCATGATAAAATTCATAGGCAGATATTTTTGACTCAAATGAGAGCAGGTGATACTGCTCCAGAACGCGGAATGTTGCAGCAGTTTTTGGATCTGAGGTTGTTGAAGGAAATAATGACATTCGAAGTAGCTGTTGCATACGACTTTCGGCTATTGCACAACCGCAGAAGTCGAGTGACACTTCGTGTATACCGAAGATGTCGATAATGACAAAATCATCATTAAAAGCACGGTGAGGATTGACACATTGCCGGCCAGTGATGTGACCAAGCTGAATGCGGAGGCCCAGGGCTTTCAGAGAAATTCGCTCGAAGTATTGACCGTTCCACTTCTGTATTTGAGATTAAGTCTATTATCACAATTAAATGCAAAGACATACCTGCAATCGGTGAAGCGGGTGGTGCGCATGGACTGACAAAATACAAGTTGAGCAATGAAGCTCTGACCCGAAGCAGTCCTGACATTTGTACTCAGGATTGGGACCATCACACTCTAAGCACAACCGCATGCTGACTCTTCCTTCAAGACGGATCATTTCTCGAAGGAATAACGCTCTGTGATTCAGCCACGTCAACAAAGGATGGTCCTGATTAAACATTGTGAGGGGGAAGTCAAATTATGTGAAACATTGTAGTGCACGTACACCTGCTGTTCGTTTTCTCCTTTGTTGGCCTAGAACATCTAATGATACTTCGAGTGGGAGATCGTCAAGTGGCTCTGGAATTGAAAAAAAGGTGTCTGAGTTGCATAGAGTTCGTTCCGCATGAGTTTGATCAATATAATGGTCCGGGATGGTTGCTTTAGCATTCTTAGGAGGTAGAAGACACTTCTGCGTATAACTGACAGAGCCATCATTGTTGACTTGGTATTGGGTATGCTGGCGATAATGGACTACTGGCGCTGTGCGATAGAAATTGAGCTTTGGTTTCCTCTTCCGTTTTGGCGAGTTCTTCGAGGTAGAGGACATTGCCTTGGTACATATGATAGTCTGAACTGGATATGGTGGCCCTGCCTCAGACGGACCAGGACCCATAGACATTCTTAGATGGTGTCGAGCAAACAGAAATCATATGCAGCTCTCCGAGCCTGACATGTCATGTGACTTGCCGAAGGGCGTCGATGAAGCCAAACACTCATCTCTATCTAGGGATGCTCCAGAAATTTGATTGCTCTTTTCCTCAGCCAAAGCGGAATACCTGAGATACTGGCTACATGCCATGGGCCTCACAAAAACCTTATATCTCTTCCTTACCCTGATTGTCTTCTAACTGAATGGCTGCACGCCATGAGCCTCACAAAAAACCTTATATCTCTTCCTTACTCCGATTGTCTTCTAACTGAATCTGGCTGCACGCCATGAGCCTCACAAAAAACCTTATATCTCTTCCTTACTCTGATTGTCTTCTAAACTGAATACATTCTCCCATAATCGTCCCGACTATAGACCGAGCAATGTTAGCAAATGCTACTAACGATACAACATCAAACTTACAGTGTGTCATCTACTGGCTGCGAGCCTACGCCGGATGGCACGATGAACTTTCTGTTCCCCGAGAAAAAGCGACCGAACAGCAAAGTAGGTAGGAGCACGATGGCCTGGGGCTTGGAGTTCAGTTTTTATATCATCCCTAAGGTGGGTGTTTAAGTATAAAATGGAAATGAGATGGAAATCTCACCAGAGATATGACGGAAAAACTCCAATGTAGCGGCCATAGGTAACGCAGTAGAAAGGTGGTTCTAGATCGCGCTTGGCAGGCATGTTGTAGAATATTCCTAGATACGAAAAAATAAAGCATTCATCCGCCATAGCATAGACGGCCTCATCAAACTCGACACTGCCCTCGTACACAGTCACAGACTCCTCTGGCTCTGCCATGTAGGGTGTTGTAGTGATGTCGACCCAAAGGGGATCACACATGGAGAGACGGACTGGCAGCGAGGAAATTTTGGGTTAGCTTGATACCTAGCGCTTCCATTGATATGGCAAATCACTCACCTTAGAACACAAGTGTTAATGTTGATGAGTCAAATTGGCAGCGGCCAACGTGAGGTTCCAGTAGAAGCGTCTTAGACCAACGAGGGCTAGCGTTTGATAGAGTTTCGGTCCAAGTAGAATGGATTAGAAGCATCTTAGACCAACGGGGGCTAGCGTTTGATAGAGTTTCGGTGCTTGCAATCACCGGTGTCAGGATTGAAGATTACATGATTGATGCATCACTAACATCACATCATTATCATAACTGCGAGACAGTGATATCACAAGTAGTCTGGTATAATAGCTCACCACGTGTATGACCTTCCAGCGCATCGTGAGGGTCGACCATGACATGCATGAGCAAGTCCTCCAGTGCTAAGATGAGGCTAGATGCTTGATGGGATATCAAATCTACTCGCTGCAACTCCTCTCCTGTCCCCATAGCCTGCAAAACGATCCCATGAAGTAGCCGGAGACGTTGTTGAATGCCTTCCATACCACCTAGTAATACATTGATTGAATGCATGCATGTTCCCGCGTCACCTGACTGACAAAGATCATTCACCAGCCCATCTAAAAGTCTTCGCGAGGATCCACCAATAATGTCTGCAAGTGCAGCTTCGGCACTTGTGAGGTCTTCCTGCCTAATGATAGTTTAATGTAAAGTTCAAGTAGCTATCAGTAACGTGCAGCTCACCATGGGTGCCTTTGTGATGATCTCGTGCGGACGCTGTACCTGCTACGGCTTTGGGAATCAACATCATTGTTGGTCGGACAGTTGTGTTGTTTGCAAGATTTTTGCTGGTTCTTCTTGCTGATGATTGCACTATTTCTGCGTCTCCTGATACATGTCAGTAGTTAAAACAGAAAAGCAAGTGCTTACTTTGCATAGTATTTCTTGCGGTAAGAATGAGCAGCCTCAATTTTATCTTGTGATGTGTGATACAGCCGAGGTCAGCCCATGATGTAGTAGTAACCAAGTTTAGAACAAGTTGTTGAAAGTAGCCGCGTCGACTTTGGGAGATTTACTACTAATTGCTTGATATCCGATGATCACCAATCATGTCTCACTCAAAATCAATGGTATAGCAGTAGCTAATTATTCAGAGCATGTATGTCGGGGTTCTACCTCATACAACGATCAAATTATGAGCTAGACTCAAGTAAATTGCAAGTTGAGTCTTATGGCGCTGGTTCTAACGTTCAACTATTCTACACGCAAAACTCACACATACAGACGAAACACACACACTCTTGTATTGTAGAAATATTAGTACTATACAATCAAATCTAGACATGATGCGACAACTACAACGTTGCAGGTGCTAATCAAGTAGAGTACAAGGGCAAATAAGAAGACTCGGCTGGTGGATGAGTTGCGACAAAAAGGATTAAAACTTACCAGCGTTAGGAACCAATCCTCGAATCTTTTTGAGGCCCGGCCAGTGGATTGAAAGGTGCCAGCGTTAGCAACCAATCCTCGAATCTTTTTGAGGCCTGGCCGGTGGATGAGTTATGACAAAAAGGATCAAAACTTACCAGCATTAGGAACCAATCCTCGAATCTTTTTGAGGCCCGGCCGGTGGACTGAAAGTTGCCAGCGTTAGCAACCAATCCTCGAATCTTTTTGAGGCCTGGCCAGTGGATGAGTCGCAACAAAAAGGATTGAAACGAAACTTACCAGCGTTAGTAACCAATCCTCGAATCTTTTTGAGGCCTGGCCAGTGGATGAGTCGCAACAAAAAGGATTGAAATGAAACTTACCAGCGTTAGTAACCAATCCTCGAATCTTTTTGAGGCCTGGCCGGTGGATGAGAGCAAGAATAATAGACAGAAATTTGCCAGCATTGGCAGCCTTGAAACATTTTATGAGTGTAGAATAGTTGAACAGATCCAGCACAGTAGAGTCTCACCTGTGTGTACTATGTGTGAGTGAGTTTTACAAATGTAGAATAGTCAGCGCTATGATAGAGTCTGTGACACCTGCAAACTGATCACACTGCCACACGCTAACTTGACGTTCTAAAGTAGGCTACACACATAAGCACATCGAAACTCAACTACTGCTTAATGTTCATTTCTCGATGTCTAGGTGAGTCTTTGGTTGTTTGATCCCACATTGTATACTTATTACTCGATGTCTAGGTGAGTCTTTGGTTGATTGATCCCACATTGTATACTCAGGCTTATTACTGTCACGACGCTCTGTCCGAACACTTATTGTTGGTTCAAGTCACATCCCATCATCGTCATAGGTTAGTCTACATGATTGCATGGACAATAACAATGGGCTAACGGTGCACTCAGCAACGATGGCCAGTCTACCAACTTCATCTCAAGATCCACTGGAGGCAATATGAAGCCGATATCAATCTTAGTGCAGGCACAGCTAACACCTCCCGGTATGTAGTACGCAACACTCAGATTGTGTCGTCATCCCTCATTACCTGATCACTAGTCATTCTAAAACACAAATCGGTGCCGATACCATTGTTTCCGTCGTTTCCATCCATACCACCCTCTCCTAATTTGACAATGTGGTAAGTCGATACCAAAATAGCTCTATTTTTTTTATTCGCTCGGTATTGACTCGCGAATAATATAAGGATGGACGTCTACTTCATATGGGAATTATTTCCCCATCATCCTTCATATTCACGCACAACAATGCCAGCAGCTTCGTGGACTACCAAAGCGCAGTATACATGGCTCCAAGAACAAATGCCAGAGTACATGCAGCAAAGCACTGGGGACAAGGACTACTCCTGCTTCTGGCCCGGCATACACAAATATTGGTTCAAAACATGGCCAGAGCGCAATATTCTGTTCCCCGACATCCCTGGTGACGTGTCGCTCACTGTTGAGCAGACGAAACAAGAAGTTAAAGCTGAAGAGCAACGTAAAGTTGTAAGTCGTCGACTACGTGTTTTTTTTGTATCGTAAACTAAAGTAAAATACTTGTAGCAACTGGCAACCTGGTTCCGTTGGCGGGCGGGTTCATCCAAAAAGAATCGCGGCTTGAAGAAGGAACAGACTGTCTTTGATGCCGCCCTGCGACTGAAGACGCGTGCAAAGTCTGTCGAAGAGATCTATATGGGCATGGTCTACGACGAGCAGATCAAACCCCTGGTCAAGGCCGAACAAGAAGCGGGCAATGTGACTACTTCTGGTCACCGCATGGCATTGGGTCGAAGGTTCTCCAAGGAGCTCTTAGAAGATGAGTCGGACGAGGTTAAGAAGGAGGTTAGAAAGAGGTACGACAAGCAGATAAAAGGTAGCAAGGGAAAGGGTGACATACTGGATGACGAAGATGATGATAACGATGAAAGTGATCCTGATGCCATCGCAAAGTAAGTGTTTCGGTCGATGTACCTGGTTTTAATCATACTCACATGTCCTACAGAGGTATTGACGAATTGCCAATCATATGCCAGCGCTTTGCACGCCTTGTCAAAAAACAAACTCAATTCATTGTGTCCTTCATGTGCGCCGGACCTGACCCAAGGCATAATCAGAACATAGTTACTTTATCGTAAGTGAACCGAATCAGCAGTATAACTAACGTGCTTACCTCCAACTAAGGTGCCATCCATCAGAAACCTCTGGTGGGCGCAATTTTGCCCACTTGTACCCTGATGAGGACTATGCCTTCCTCGGTGCGTACCAGGAATTTGCAGAATCAATATTCTGTAAGTCATTTCCTCATTATCATTATGGGCTCGCATTGATACACACTTGTCAGCTGCGAAGGAACATGACCCCTTGCTGCCAGCTACCACGAACGTCGGAGATGGCAACAGGAGTGAGGAACTCGAAGAGTATGGTAGCGGCGAAGAGGATGAAAGTGGCGAAGAGGATGAAAGCAGAGAGGAGAACGAAGGAGGTACTGATACCATGAGCTGGGATAACCCCGGCCTTTATACGATTTTGCAGACACCTGATGCATCAACCGGACCTGATGCATCAACCGGACCTGATGCATCAACGACAACTGATGCATCAATGGCAGGCACCGTGGCGCTGGCACCGGCTGGCTTCACTGATGCATCACTTCAGCTTACGGGACCATTCTACTCTCAGGTAAGAGTCTTACACGCCGTCACTCCCACTATGTTACCTGACGATTTTCTGATATAGTCCCAATATCCTGATTGGTCACTGGATTTGCACAGTGTTATGATGCCTCAAGCTAGTGCGCCTCTCGGCTCAATTGAACCATTCGAGGCCCGATTTTTACAGCCCGGTCTTATGGCTACGGGATATCTTGGTAGCAGTACCGTGCAGAACACATCATTCAGCTCACCAGCTTCTTTGGGATTCTCGCTTGCTGACACCATGCACGGGTGGAATTTCAACAATGACAATCTTCATTCGACAGGGTGGGAGACATCTAGTCTGTCTTCTTCGTTGACCTCTCCAACCTCCGCTGAGCGCAGTACCACGAGCCCTAGCCTTGACGAGCACCTTCCTCAATTTACTTATCAGCTTCCCACCCTTCCAGCTGCCAACCCCCCTTCTCCGACTGAGACCGCACAACCTGCTGAAGTTCCCGATTCACAGGCTGGTACCGGACGTGCTAAGTCCAAGCGCAAGTCCAAGTCGAAACTTCCTACAACCAAGTCTCTCACAGCACACACCGACAAGCCTCGCTCTGCCGCCAAATTTATCACAGACACTCCCACTGTTACGGCCGCACCCACTACAGCAAAACTCACTCCCCTGGTCAATTCTACTGAGCATATCCCTGTGATCACGCTTGCGAACGCTGCCAAACCCAAGGCCAAACCCAAACCCAAACCCAAACCCAAGGCACATCCTGTTAGTACCAAGTCTAGTGCAGTAATGGAGACAACACACGTCGCTGCAGATGATGAAGGTAACGCGTTGGGTGATTCGATTACTATCAATAATATCGTGCAAAAAGCTACTGCGAGTCAGATTGGAGCGGCACGTGTATCTAGTGCTGCCGTGGTCCGGTCCCGAACCTTGGTTCGAACCTGACCAATGGTCAGGTCCATCCATGGTTCGGTCCATGGTTCCATATTTTGGACGGACCGAACCGAAATGAGGTTCGTGGTCCACTATTTTCTGAACGGTTCTCACATAGGTTCGGACGTTCCCGAACCGTTCTGAACCCCGAACCGAATTGTCCTCGCGATATCGGCGAGGCACACCCATGCTCACTTCGACTTCGACTTCGACTTCGACTTCGACTTCTCCCCCCATGGTCATGTCGACTTCGGGGATCCTCAAGATTCGCATTGTCTTTGAATCGGACGCTCGCATCCCGCACCCCCGGTTGTCAGAAGATGCTCAAGGTATGTGAACTGCCAGTCAATAATCTCAATATATTGATTGGTATATCACATTGGTATAGATCTACTTTTTGCTTGCCCCCGGTTTCCAGGAGACGCTCGAGGTATGTCAACTGTCAATAAGCTCAATATACTGATTGATATATCATTGATATAGATTTACTGTTTGCTTGTTTCACACATAAAGGGAGCAAGCCCCACCAGGTGAGTTGTATCATTTCCTCTCGACATGTCCGAATCTGACGGATGTGCTCTCAATGCTGACGGCTCCCTCAAGGACGCCAAAGATATTGTATTTTACAATGACCCTGATGATATTATCCCACTTGGCACTCCGTCCTCTGCCCAGCCAACACTATCTACCACTCCCACAGGCTCAGACGCCTTCTCAGTGCTGCTGAAGGCTGGGTGCAAACCAGCACTGGTTACTGCAGGTGCTCGTCGCTCCATTCGGACATTCAAGCCTTCTGCTCGCCTCCGCGATGCCGACAACGCTTGCTCTCACCCATCATCCTCAAACAGCTCAACAGCCCGCAAACGTGCATTATCTAGTGCGACCGAGCGGCTAGTCAGCAAAAAGGTCGCATTGCAGCTCTCAGCCCCGTTATCTGATGATGACGACTTTCACGCGGCTGGTGCCGATACAGATACTGACACTGATCCTGGCACTGGCCACACTGGCCACTCTGAGTCAGTCGAAGATGAGGACGCACCCGAAGATGACGATGCGCCGACAGCTGAAGATGAACCTGACGATGAACCTCAAGACTCAAACATCCGAGCCACTCTGTCAAAGAGTGAGCGCACTGCTGATGTTCGCACTGTCTTCACTCGCAATGACAAGGAATGGGTATGCGACGCAATGCACTCGCGACTTCCACGTTCACTGCATTACAATTGCTGAAGGGAGCATATAGGAATGGGCACCTTTCTGCAGCAGTAGAGGCTGAGGGCCATGCAGCTTCGTTGGACAAGTAGCTACACTGTCTATGTTTTTTGTCACTAGCTGTAAAAATTTTTGTGTTCGGTTCGCGTTCAGACCGAAAAAAAACCGAACCTGACCGTTTTGAACCGTTCGCAAAGGTCCAGTCCAAGGTTCGGCAAGTCTACTAGAACCGGACCTAGGTTCGGTTCTTGGTTCTTGCTCAACCCTCAATGAACCGGACCAAACCGGACCGCGGCAGCACTACGTGTATCGAAGCGCATTCCAATCAAATCCAGGCGGAATGATATTGCTGACACAATCGGGTCAGATGGCATGACATTCGTTGGTATTGGTAGCAAGGAAAATCCAAGTGTTTTGGAGGAGGTTGGGGGAACATCATCGAAGCGTACTGCTGACTCGACTGCAGAAGGTGTGATTCCAACAAAGTATGTCTGAAAAATCCTGCTCTATTCTCACTCGCTAACAGAAACAGGAAAAGACGAACGAAGGCGTGAGCCGACTGGCTTTATGTTGGCTCCATGAAGTTCTCTGTTTGATCCATGCTCTGATCATAAATTTTCACGCTATACAGATGTAATAGATGTGGTCCCTAGACCTTTATCCTGTCTATGATTAGTGAATGAAGTTATTCTTGCATTGTGAAAGCTTGTCGCGAAGGAAAAGCTAAGATCGGACGCAAGACAGAACAGAACGGCGTGACTCAGACTTGCAGGAATTGAAAGAATACGAGTAAGGGAAAACTTGAAAAGAATGAATATATGCGCATGCTACAAGTATCAGCCTGCATCGCGTGAAAAATTGGACTCGAGACGGAACAGAACATCGTGACTCGGACTGACAGAATACAAGCAGTGATAAGTAAGGGAGAAAGGGAGAAAGGAAAATGAATATATGCGCACACTATAAGTAGTTGGGTGATGGGCTGGGAAAGCAATGAGCCGACCTGCAATGCATGGCTGATGCATTACTGATGCATCAGTATTGCATCAGTAATGCATCAGTAATGCATCAGTGCTATCCGAGGATCCACGCTGCACTGTTGCATCACTGGATCCCTTGCAACTGCAGCAAAATGTTGCATCAATATGACACTGGGGCCTGACAAGGCCCCCCTCACATCTTGACATTGACCTACATTGACCTGCTAAGTATGTAGCGAGCTATTGGCAACAATCCCTCCGAAAAGACAAATCGTTACATGGTAACGCTACATCGAGTAACTTAGCTTCCGAAAACAGGTTTAATTGGCTGACTATGCTACAAAATATAATGTGATCAGAAATACGCAAGTACTACGTACACAACGGGACTGCGAAGTTCGAGGGTTAATTACGAGAATACTAATTATGACGTTCGATGCATCGCCCACCTGGGACCATGAATCTCGACACCTTTGCTATGAGCGAGATGGCACATGTCGTAGAGAAGCATCGCAAGGCCAATGGTGAGAAGAAGGGAAAAATCAGCGGGCCAAAGGACTATTCGTGCGCATACGTTCGCCGGCGAAGTATATCCACACTGGAAAGGGTATGCCAATGACTATGGCAATGCCTGCAAGCAGGGAATTGCCTCCACCATAGCCGAGTGCCGCAAACATCTGTTCTCCAAACAAAGGGAATGCGAAACCAAGAAGTGAACGGAACGTCTGATGATGTATTCAGTAGACGCCAACGAAATCAGAGGCCATGTAAGAAAGACTAACAGATGCGGCTGCAGTAGCGCTTGCAGCATAGGTGAACGTATCCACGAGATAAAGTTGGATAGTGAGGCTTCATGTCAAGAGATTAGACGTGGAAGAGACTAATGCACCGGAGCACACCCACAAACTTGTCATCAACCCGAATCCAAAGATAGCGGTACCAATGATGGGCATCATGAATTGGGCCTCGGCTTGGGCAGACCAGCCATACCAACTAACACATGTCAGACCCCATAGGAGCAGGAATAAATGCGTCTATCTCACAATAGTCCCACTGGGACAAACAACGAGCCGAATATCAGAGCAGGTATGCGCATCTCGGGTTTACCCTGCCCTCCATTTTTGGCAGCGAGCTAGGCATAATAACCAGCGCGTGAGTTGGCACGTTCAAGGTAGAAGGCAAGTTGACATACGTATATGTATATCTTTCCTGAAACCCTGGCGCCAAACAAAGTGGCGGCTAGAAATCTGACGCCTGTTCCGAGGTACGTCAGGCCTCCAATTCCAGTGCTGAAGTGGTACACCTTCGAAAAGAGGTCTGAGCAAAAATTGTTAATGACGATCCCTGTAGGCAGGTATGATCTTACCGGGGAAAGTAGAAAACATCAAGTAGTAGATACCTGACAAATGATCTCAGTTCATGTCCAATATAACTTAATGCGGTACTGACCGTATAACCTGGATAGATGACATCAGTGAACCGGGTGTGCATTACATTAGATTTAGACTTACAGAGCCATATACAAGCTCAGGATAAAACATATAAAACTCCTGGTCAACAGTATGACCGGTCGCTTGAGGTTGAGCCATAAGTAGGCCCATTTGCTCATCTCGCCTTGGAGGGTAGGATGTCCCACGGTTGTCTTTTCGGGATCCAGAGCCACGTTATCCAGACGAAGCCTGATAAGTGGTGCATAGGTTTCTCTCAAGAGAGGAATGCCGATCATCGCGGCAATGCCGGACATGGCGATAACGACATAGAAGACATATTGTACACCAATTAATTCTGGGATGAAACCCCCCATAACGGGACCGACAGCAGGGCCTTGCAGGATGTGTAAACGTCATACGATATAAAACCGTATACGACCCACCTATCAAGGGTCCGATGCTGTACAGTGCAACAGCTGATGCTCGATCACGTTCGGCAAAGAGGTCGCTCACGACGCCTCCGCCGCATGCTATGGGTGGACTGCCTGCTAATCCAGCTTTGCAAAGAATGAGAAAGGATGGAGCTTGAGATGTTCTGAGACGTACCTAGAAAGCGGAAAACAATGAAGGATACAGTGTTGGTTGACAAGGCACAGCCAAGATTAAAGAAGAAAAAGAAGAGGTTTCCTAGGTGGAGCACCTTGAACCCATTCAGGTAAATGCTGGTCTCATTGATGGATGCACATGACGCACCCATACACGGCCATACACTTCAGACAAGGGTGCTGCAAATAAAGGGCCGATGGCAAATGACAGAAGGAAGATACTCAGAGTCAACGCTATGACTGTTGGATTGGTTATATCAAATTTGATGGCGATATCGAGTAAACCGGGTGCCATAATAGAACTTGCTAACGGCGTAACAAACGTGTACAGTGCGACCTGATATTGACATAAGACATCGTAAGTTGAACTTGTGGATGGAAAAACTGACCAGGGTAGTCGTTGTCCATTTTTTTTGCGGGAGACCAATTCCTGGGGTTGGCAGGGTGGTGTTCCCAATCGTAGTCTTTGTCGTGAGTATCCTCAACGTCGGTAGACTTGACTTGTTCGCTTTTCATGGCATGAGTATCATTCGAATGATCTCGGTGAGCAAAAGAAACGGTGGTTAGAGAGCCCGACATGGACACCGAGTGGCAGGGAGGGATGATTCCACATGTCCTAGACAGACTCTTAAATATCAGATGATAACCTGACTGAGCAAGTATTACTGTTGCGCTTTACCGCTGCACGTTTACGTTGCAATTGCTGACATGTGAGATCTATCTGGTCCAAGCCGAATTTGAGTCATGGGCCTGCCTGAGGATGCCTGATCGGCTCTCTCATATTGGTAGCTATGGAGGGCATAGCACCAGGATACAAAGAGCACGCGGCTACACAGCCAGTCTCCTGTCCAAGAGGCTGCCGAAACTTGAGAAGAGTCCTGAGTATAGCATCTATGACCAGCGCTAGAGTTTACTTACTTATAGTCACCCCCTAAATCGCGCATCGAGTAGTGGGTTGGCATGATGCGTCAGCGATTCAGACAAACTGGAACATCGGCCTCCGTATTAATATTCAACATGACTAAATGGGGAAATCGGCCCGAAACCACCAGTTGTGGCACGAAGCCTTGATTGGTTTGGGCCATGGGCTAGTGCCTGTTCTGGAGCTCCTGAGTCAGTTAGTGATGCGGGTGGTGTATGAGATGGCGAGGAGGGAGTGGAGGAGGTAGAGACAGGATTTGAGGCAAGGAGCAGAAGGTATTTGGCTGTCCATCTATCTGTGGGAGATAATGGTGGATGAAAAACTCAAGCCGCAAATATAGTAAGTGACGCACTTTGCCCGGGATTTAGTCCCTCGCCATGCTACAATCCAAAGCATGCCGATACTGAATCTCCTGCAAGACCATGAAACTTCAAAAGGGAGTTTGATGCCTAGCAGAGAGTAAGAAGTCCCAGAAAGCAAATGGTCTGCGCTGTCACAGCATTAATACGATCCTGTGGTTATCCTATGATATGCTCCGTGATAAGATTCCTGGCGTAGCAAGTAACTGTAGCGTACGTTTAACGACTTTCGGTGCTGGAAAAACCAGTTCGCCAACAGTCCATTCTCCCCTTGCAGCTGACCACCCGCTCACTGCATGCCATAGCTCCTGGACAAGGCCTAAGCATGCTCAAGCAATAGTTTGACTTAGCACAGAGAGCTCCTGAGAGTCCTCAGTAAGCGCTTGTCATTGGGTGGGGGAGGCGTGCAGCGTGAAGTGTGCTCTCTCCTAGTCTCTTCTCACTTCTCCAGGGCCATCTGCTAATTGGTGCAATCTCTGCGCGAAGGAGGCGACCAGATTAGTCTGATTCGAAAGACTTGAGTGCCCGGGATGCACGAGCAACTTGCTCATGTCTGTCCGGGGGAAAATGATGAGTTTAAAAACTGAAATCACGTAGACTGTATATCATTGAAGGTCAGCACGGTTTGCACTTTCTCGAGCAAGTCCATCATTAGTCAGCAGCCGATCAATTTAACTCACCGACCAACTTAGACACCCATCGGATTAAGCAATTTCCTGCAACCTTCTTTCGAGCCAAGCCAAATGGTGCTGCGGTTCACAGGGCTATGGCCATTGATCCTGACCGGCTCGAAACGATTACGGCCACTGGCAAAGTACAAATTCCCCTCCGAGACCTCCCGACCAGTGTGGCAGTACCTACGGGCCTCCCGCCTGATCTAATAATTCGATTTGAACATCAAGTCTCCCGCTGATGGCCTGCTGCTTTTCATTGAAGATATCTTCCTGAATCTCGTGGCCCGTCAAATTGGTAGTGTCTCCCTAGACAGCATCGAGAGGTCCATTACAGGTTCAGGTGAGCCTTAACTGGACGTTTGGTGGGATATCGATAGACATGCTGACGGGTGATTCGTTGTTTGCATGGCAGGCGACTCCGCCCAGCTTAACTGGTCCGACTATGATGAACCTGGTAACAAATATACTTCTGGGGACATTGAACACCCGCTGAACCTCATTTACGCAAGCTATGCTGCTTTCCTTCATCTTGCTTCGGGGACTCTGGTTGATCTCAGGTGGGTGGCGTTCTTTGTTGTGCCAAAATTCCGCATCTATAGAATCACGCGCTAATACCTTGCTTAGGCTGGCTTTCCTGTGCCATCAGGCAATTTGGAGATCCCATCCTCTACCTCTTCGTTTGTGGCTTTGTGCTGTTTGATATTCTCGCATGGGTTGATTCTGGGTCAGTTATCCCTCGTCGATTCCTCAATACCAAGGGACAGCGAGTACGAATGGATAAGTTGCCGGCCAGCTTCGTGATTCATATGTATATCTGATACGACAATTATGCTCTGAGACTTATTTCCATGATTCTGTGCTGTCTAGGTGGCGACATTGTTCCGGACTTAGGAGATGTATTAATCAAGGGGACATCAGTGTTAACTTCTCTGAGAACCGCACATCTATCTTTGGGAGTCTGCCCACAGCTTACTGCGATCGACTCTCAGCTGATTGTTCGGGAACATCTCATGAGTTATGGACGCCTCAAAGGCCGGACTACAATAGCCCGTCAAAGTCAGCTGAGCCATTCATCATACCAAAGAGACTTCGCATCGGAGATCCCACGAACAGGTGTGTCAGGGATTCATTATTTGATTCCACACGTGGAGATATTGGCTTAGCATGGAGTATTTTCAAGACACGAGGTTCGCCTAACGAGACCAATTGGCCAGTGAGTGTCGTGTTTGTTACCAGTTCTTTTCTGACTCCAACAAGTCCTTTTTGAGAATGTGGAGCCTGTTGAGCTTCCCCATATCCTACCCAATTCATCTTCGTCCACGCAGGAACACGAGGTCGACACGAAGACACGCATTTCCCCAGAAACCATGTCACCAACTCCTGTCAATCTTATTAACCGATCCCTTGTATATGAACCATCTGGGCGTCTCCGCCCTTTCAAGGCCTTGACTCACCCCTGGTTCACCTCCGAACCACCGTTACTTCTACCAGATGACTTTTCTGTTTCGTGTATCCATGGTGAGACCCCAACAAGCCTTAGCTGGGGCGAAAAGTCTCTGGGAGAATGGATTTTGGATGTTCATCCCAGTGGCGCAATTTGAAGGGACGGGTAGAATGAGGATATGACAACATCATTTGTTATACAATGCATATAATTTGCAAAACATGATAGAATGCAAGAACCGAGCCCATGCATGTCTCAGGCTGCTGCCGGCACAGGCTTGATGGTTTGATGAGCGAGAGCACAATTATCGATGGATATACCTGTGCGAGAACAAATGAGAAACACATCCCATGAGATAATCGTGTCACTGACTCTGTGTTGTATTTGCAGTCTTGTAGATACCAATGAGACGGTGACTGAGCTCAAACATGTCATTCCTGCCAATTTCATATTAGCAAAGGTGGTTCTCGGGAGAGAAGGAATTGTCACCTCAAAGATATAATAATGAATTGCGCATTCTTGGTACGGTCCTTGATATAATTCGCCACAATCGAGACATTCCTGAAGTCTAGGGCCGCATCTATTTCATCCATGAAATAAAGTGGTGTGGGCTAGGACAGGTTCAGGCTACTGGAACTGCTCACGGAGTCGATATGAGGTTTACCTTGAACCACGAGAGCAAGAGAGCTAAGGGTCTGAAGCACGATTAGTATGTGTTCCCTAAACCTCAAAGCAGAATGCACCTTTTCGCCCCCAGAGAGATTTGAAATATTCTTCCAACTCTTCTTTGGAGGCATCACGCTAAAAATAATGCCCTTTGAGAAGGGATCCGTGCTGTCGGCTCTGCGTTACCCCCAAGAGTGATCATCTAACGAAAAATACAGGATTCTGATCAACCAAAGAACGTCAGCACAGACCTGCTACATTTCCTTGAGTTTCAGTGAAATCGAGCTGAAACCTGCCATGAATTCATCCAAGTGTTGTTTCCGGAGACCATCGTAGAATCGCTTCTGCGCATCACGTTCTGCAGTCGTCTCCTCTAAGTCTTTGGCGCGTTTGATGAATTCCTCCTCTCGCTTCTTGTACTCCTTGAGAACGTCGAGGTTTGGATCGGAGCCCTTAAACCAGTTAGTAGTGATCACGCGTGACTAAGGTGGCGGAACGTACCATCAAGATACTCAGAATCTGCAAGCGTATCCCTCTTCTTGAAGCATGCAAGTTCATCGGCACTCTATACGTATAGCTCTGTCGATAAAGTTCGTTAACGAGCATTTTTCAGAGACACAGAATCAGCATATTCCTGCTTCACCGCCCCTTCACCACTGCCTGAAGCTCCAGTGACTTGGTCAGCACCTTCCTCTTCCTCTTCGTCCTGGTCATCACCGAGTGGCTGTAAGCACATGAAAGTTGAAATAATCGAAAGACAATAGCTTACTCGATTTCGTGAAGCTTAAGTCGGTCATGAGCGCAGTATTAGCGTGTCACAGAGCTGCCTCTAACAGCAAGAGTTGGTCATAGAATTCGGGCACATGGCTCTCTGAACTGACAATGACGAAGGTTAGGACAGCCTCGATGAAAGACTGGACACAAGGTCGGTCCCCACACCCGAGGGATGCAGAACCAGCGTTCATGCTCCTTAGGCGGGCAATCTCGATGGCTCGAAGGAAAAGGTCCATTCTTGCCTGCCGTAGTCGAATTCCTGCTTTCGGTGCGACAAGCTTAGAAATTGTCCATTTCTGAATGATGTTAAAGGCGCACATACAGCTGTGGATGCTAGGTAGTAGGAGACGGTAAATAGTATCCTGAGAGAGCTCAATATCAGTGAGGATGGCTGAACCTCCCGTTATATGGGAATACATGGACTGTATATCGATGTCGTCCGGCGATGGCACTTCTAGTTGAAAACCAGCCAGTAAGATCTGTGCTTTGTACCTCTGACAGATCAGTGGCGATGAAAAGGTCCTGAAAGGAACATGAGCGCCCGTATTTGATATTAGTAAGGGGAGGACCGACCTCCTAGCTTATATTGCTCAATCCATAGCATTCAAAATATCGACGGGCTCATCAACACTGATCTCATCGAGGCCGTATGGTCGATTACCAAAGGATCACACCCGAGGTGTCCACTTCAGCAGTCGGGTGTTGGCTATAAATACCGAACATCTAGAGGTCCAAGGATTGTGAGTTGAACGCGTCTTTGGACCGTGAGAACGAATTTCCTCAGATGCAAAGAAGTGCCCGCAGCTGCGGGCACTTTTTTTGGCATCTGAGGAAATTACGTCCCACAGGAAGATTGGTCGCGACTCCGACAGTGAAGCAATCAAATTATCAAGTGCATGCTATTTGCTACTCATCATTTAAACCCTCTTATTTCTCAATATTCTTGCTCTTTGCAGGTGGCAGCTGGATCAAAGGCAACCAGTAGGCACGCATTCCTGCTCAGTGCTCACGCCTCTATATGTGCCACGGGGACGGCTTGATGATCTCACCGACGTAAGGTTATGGCCCTCTCATCAATCGTGATCAGTTTGTCTCGATCATACCCGTATTAACCCTAGTGCAATACTGACAATTTAAACTTGTTCTGTTTCTTCGAGACCCGTAACTGACGCCTACCTTTCAACACTGGTAGTTCGTGGGGTACTTGTCATCGTCCACAAAGGCGACTGCACGGAGTTCTACCAAGATCCTCATACCTACAAGCCCTCTTGCATCGATGTTCGGCTCAATATTTGCCTTGAGCGTCGACTTTCTTCCTGACGTAAGCCATTCTTGTGAGCTTACCGAGACAGTTATATTCAGATACATTCTTCTTCAGGGTTTATCTGGCGCAGCTGGAGAATCTTTGAGTGCTGTTGCGCTCGTCGTTGTGAGTTATGTGCAGCTCCTTGCAGAACATGTCGATACTCAGTTACTGAAGGATGCAACGCAACGAGGTATGAACTTTTCATTCAACGAATCCTTTCAGTCCTTTCAATACTCATTGGTGAATCTACGGAGGTCGCTGCTCATGGAAAAATGATGACGGATATGCCCCGTCTGCTGGAGGTGCAGCATGCGACATCCTGCAGGCACTCATACAACGGGCACGTTATTGGATAATCGGGTATTGAGCCTCCTTCTACATGCGTGTACGTTATCCTAACTGATATCACAGCGATTCCTGTGCTCGAACATAAGCCAAAGTCTGCCAATTTCGCAATTGACCGGGTTCCAGCATGCTGGGCTGACACGGCGTCTCTCTCCCCCTGCCTGAGCAACAAAGATGCAACTTCTCGCCTGATCTGCGGATTCGAAGGCTCAACCCAAAGGGCTTTTTGGGTGATTTTAGTTGCTCTGGAGCTTTTGCCTCCACCCTCTCATTTTTGTTTGCTAGGGTCAGTTTTTGATCATCATTATTTTAATTGTTTGTTACGGCCCCACCACGCATCGTGCGATCGTCCCTTCATACTTCTATGCTAAACGTTGGACCAGGGGTCCCAAGGTAGAGAGACAGAGACCAAGGCAGCGAGACAGAAGCTTGAGCAGAGAGTCAGAGACTCAGGCGCACAGAAGCATCATAGCTTAGTCAGATAGCACACATGCACGAGCGGATCCAGTAGTAGCACAGCATTCCTCTTCATTCACACAACGATCTCAGCGCATTGCCTTTGCCCTAGCTCATCGTGGTGAACAGAGCGGATTTGAATCTTCCCAGCTTTGTCTTAGCCGTTTAGTCATTGCTCATAGTCATAACCCGCAGTCGCAGCTTAGCCATCGGATCAGAATTTAGAAGAACTTCGATTCGAAGCATCAAAACAAGCCATTTGCAGGAACTGATAGTGATATTACGTGGCAATACGTCTTAAAAACTCAAGCATATTACAAAAAAGGGCTACGTTTATTCCGTTTTTTTACGTGGACGCCTAATGCCAGACACTGATAGTTTGAGACCCAGAACAGCACAAGGAAAAGCAGTAACTAATGTTCGTTTAAAAACGAACTGGTCCGACTGGACAACAGAAACTTCGACCGCATCCTCCCCACTTGACACACCAGAACATTTGGTGCACGACACATTAGACCGTTCAGATACTTCTTCGCTTAGCAGTCTAGAAGAGAACGTGGATAACAATCAGATCCCATTCCCTGAACTCGACGTCCCAGAGTTAAGCCTAGAGCTACCAACGCTCAGATCTCAACCTAGACCACGTTGTTCGAAAGCGAAACAACTCACAGCTACTACGACAGTACCAGACTACGACTTAGCCAATTTCTTCGCGCTTATAGAACTCAAAGCCATCATGCCTGTCGAAACGCCTCAGATCTTCCACGGAGATGGACGAGCATCAGAGAACCCAGCGGACTTCTTAAAGTCGTTCAATAGAGCGATGCGCCAACAAGCCATAACGCAGAACACCGATAAATTGGATGCATTCGGAGACTACCTGGGAACTAGTTCTCAAGCGGAGACATGGTTCAAAGCGCGCACGTCCACAGATAAAGCTACCTGGGCAACATTTGTAGCAGCATTCGAGAAACGATGGCCACCAGTCATAATCGCGGAAAAAACGAAAGCAGAGTACGAAAGAGAATTACTAGACCAGGTACTGCCAAGCACAGACGTAGGGAAGAAGACAACGCTCTATGACAGAGAGTGTTGGACGCACGTTGCATGGGCAGCAAAGACGCTACAACTGGCCACTAATGCAGGCATCGAACAAGGTACATCGATGATTTGGCAAGTCCGCAGCAAGCTACCGGACGTAGTAAAGGACTTGCTCAAAGACGAGGAGTATAACACGTGGGCGGAATTCACCAAGGCAGTGACGGAGTTGAAAGGTAGCAGGCTTGCGGAGAAGCAAGAACAGAGAAGCAAGCAAGCACAAGAACTCAAATCGCTACGAGCAGACTTAGCCCGAGTTCAGCTGCGAGCGCCGCAAAGGGACCCAATCGTGGACTTACAAAGACAATTCAATAAGATCACGCTCAACCCAGTAACACCTTCGCCGACGTCGTTGACCAATAGCACAGTCACGAGAATCCCAGCAGCAGCGAACCAACAGAATCCGCAACCGACGTACAGCCGGCAGCAAGCCACAACGCAGCAGCAGCTAATAATCACAGAGGAAATGAAGAACACCGTTCGTCAATTGATCAACGCATTACCGCACCACCCAGACAATGTGATAGGACGCACGGCATACACAGCGCAGCTCACACAATGGAACACAAAATGGGGTGAAAGTACACGGGTCACGCAGGAGACAGGATACCTGTTGAAACCAGGCACAGCAGCTATAGCGTCGAGTGAATGCTTTGCTTGCGGAACCCATGGGCATAATGGAAGAAACTGCCCATTACCACCGGACCACGCAGAACGGTTGACGAGGAAAGAATCAGCATGGAGAGCAATTGCGAGCAGAATATTAGGCGCGTATAACAGAGCCACAGCGACACCCATATCGCTCGTCATGAACAACGAGTATGAAGAAACAAGCGCATGGGTAGAAGAGATAGCGGAACAGCAGGGAAAAGTGGACGGGTCGACGTAAAGCAGAACAATACGTCGACCCATAGTCTCAAGAACACCGAAGCTGGAGTCAAGGTCCTCGCATGCACAGAGGCAACGTGCGAGGACAACAACAGGATATATAGCCCCGAAGTTTTCACTGGACCCGTAGATAAGAGCATCGCATGTACTATCGAATCTCGCGACAACGCAATCGAGATAACTGATCTGTACTCGGTCGGACATCCTTACATCGCGAAGCCCCAGTTAGAAAACGGAGAGGCGATTCCATTCATTCACCGGATAGAACTAAGAGGACCGCAAGGAGAATTAGTTCGAGTTCGAGCATTATTCGACGACGGAGCCATGGTCAGCGCAATGTGCACATCAATATTCGAGAAGATCAAACACAGGCTACATAATTGGAGCTCATCGAACAGATGCTTACGAATGGCGAATGGAAGCGTTGTTAAAGCAGTTGCAAAGTGGACGGGAACAGTTACAATTGAAGGGGTCAAAGCACAGAGTACGTTTGAAGTGTTCAGTAGTGGAGGAAGTTGGGGTTTTTTGCTCGGAAAGCCAACCCTCAAAGCATTTGCAGCGATTCATGAATACACAACGGATACTATCACAATCAAGGACGAAGCTCGAACAATCCAGTTGAAGAATCAAATAGCCGACCAAAGGATGCTACGAGGAGAAGGAGTCAATTTAACATTGGACGAGAAACAACAACGGACAGAAGAAACAATCTCGAGCGCGAAGGACCACACGAAGCAGCAGTACGTGCCTATGGGCCAGTGGAGACCAACGAGAATGTATACAAGATGAGAGAGGACAGTGGGAACGCAGAGAAACGTGAAGGGGAGCGAAGAGCTCCCCTCGAGGGAAGTCGCAGCAACTTCATTGCGAGTACAGAAGCAAAGCATTGACACGCTAAATTCCGCAGCATGCAATGTCAGCATAAATGTGCTAACAATGCAAGAGGAACAGGAAGACCAAATATTAGAAGAATTACCGGAAATCGAACCTACAGCGAAACACCCATCAATATACACGCGGCAAACGAACCCATTCAACCCGAGGAGAGTCAAAGAAATTTTACAGCAAGTCAAAATCGGAGACGACCTGTCAGAAGAAGAACAGAGAGAGTTGGAGCAATTAGTAGCAGACAATGCAGACAGCTTTGCGTTGACACTGAAGGAAGTAGTTCCAATCCCGGGGGCAGCGCTAAATTTGAATGTTCCAGAAAACGCGACATTCAACCTTAGAATGCATCAGCGCCCATTAACGCCAGAACAAGCAAAATTTTACAATGAACGAGTAAATGATATGCTAACAGCAGGTATTATAGAGCGGGCGCCCCCAGAATCAATACGATGCGCAGCGACCACAGTTATAGCACAAAGAGCGCATGAGACAGGTGGTTTACCTTGGGAAGAGTTGAAACAACGAATCAATGATCAACGTCGAGAAGCAGGATTACAGCCAGCTTACGAATTGCCCCCCAGAGAAGTATCGCCTCTGCAGAACAAGAATACGGCAGAAGAAGGACCGAAGAAATGGCGGATATGCCAGAACTTCGCGCAGCTCAACAAGGTAACAGAAGTTGTGCCAATGCCGCAAGGTGATATTCTAGCGAAGCAGCAAAGATTAAGCGGCCAACGATACATATCAATCTTCGATTTCGCAGCGGGATATTACGCGATAGAAGTACCAGTGAAATGGAGGCCGTACCTAGCGTTTTACATTGAGGGAAGAGGATACTTCTGGTACAAAAGGATGCCGATGGGAATCACGGGAGCGCCGACAGCGTTCTGCGACGCATTAGCGGAGAGATTGCATGATCTATTAACAACGCACTACATGGAGCTCTTCATGGATGATGGTGGTTGTGCAACAGGTACGTTTAGAGACATGATAAACAAGCTAACGGTATTATTTCAGCGCTTTCGAGAGTGTAAATTTTCAATCTCACCTAGCAAAACAAGACTATGTATGTCGGAAACGGAATTCGCAGGCGGGACAATAGGACGGGACGGAGTCAAACCGGATTTAACGAAACTAACAGCAATTGTAGATTGGAAACAACCTCAAGACGCACAGAACTTAGCATCATTTTTAGGTTTAACAGGGTTTTATCGTACATTGATCAAAGCATACGCAAAGAGAGAAGGCCCGCTACGAAACCTACTGCTCAAAGTACCAGTGGACAATACAATGTCGAAGGCGGCGTATCGCCGAGCTATGAGTAGCTTCAAGCTAAGTACCGTTTGGATGCAAGAACATACTAAAGCATTTTTAGATCTAAAAACAGCAATAACATCAAGACCAGTACTTCAAGCACCTAGATACGATGGATCGCATTTCGTAATAACGACAGATGGATGTATCGAAGGGTTCGCAGCGGTCCTATCGCAGAGGATCAAAACGGAAACAACGACAGGAAAATGGACAGAGCGCTTACACCCGTTAGGCTTCGCATCGAAGCGAACATCAACAACGGAGAAGAAGTACAAATCATACCTGTTAGAGTTCGCCGCACTCAAGTTCGGACTGGACAAATTTTCGAGCATAGTATGGGGATTCCCGGTCGAAATTGAGACAGATT